TAGTTTTCCAAAATAAACGTTTTTGAATTTTTCAATCACACATTGATTTTGCAATTTGATTGGTTCGCCTTTATTTGGCCGGTAAACTTCTATATCGGGAATTGGATGTTCAGCGTTCAGCCAAATTTCTCTTTTTTGATGAACAGAAAATTGATCGTCAAAAAGTAAATCGGCCACATTATGATGCAAATATATCGTAGATTTTTGCTAATATCGAACCACTAGATGCAGATATCTAATAAAAGAATGTAACAAAAAACTCTGTATTATTATTCGAATGGATTCTTTTTGAAAGATTTACCAACGTTGAAACACCTTGCAAAGGTTTTTTAGTTAGTTTATAAAGCAACCTGTTGGAAGGAACATACTTAATATTGGAATCATGAGAAAATAGATTTAAATGTCATTACACAAAGCAATTTAATCCTATAAAAGACTATACACAACTCTATATAGTCACAGGTTTTGCGCGTTTCTATGATCGTGACTGTATAAAGGTATAACTGTACTATCTCTAATTTAGAAAATTTTCATAACGAATAGACTGATCTTTATGATTGGCGGAGTTTTGTAAGATTATGACATGAATGACTTGATATTTGTAATAATTAAATTTGATTATTAATTTTATCAATATTAATTCAAATTCTAAAAATATGAACTGTTACTTAATATGATACTTGAAAATGAATATAAGATTGAAACCTCGATTCAATATTCAGGTGCTGCCTGATTTACTAGTTGAGACCCTACGTGAAAAGTTGTCCGAAATTTCACGTGATTTATATGGAATCGTACGCAATTCATGGGATGTACGAAAAGTTCCATTCGAAATTACGGACAGTATACGTAACGAATAGAATACATACGGAAAACGTGTGTGTCAGGAATCATAAGGAAAACAAACCTTTGTTTGAAACACGCTAGGAATGCATACGTAATGAACCGGAAAACCACAGAAACCAAAAACCTTTATTTGTAATAAACGATTCACACTTACTGATTCCGGTGCTAGTTCGACACTTAATACATGTAACAAATTTTCCCAAACTATATACATCGTTATTATCATTGATCATATGATTTCTCATACTTCATAAAGCCCAAAGACCCAAAAGCCAAATCCCGATACCCAACATTCCGACACCCAAATTACGACTTACCAAAATCCCGAATACTAAATTTCGACTTCCCAACATCCCAAAATCTCGACATATCAAATTCCCGAAATACTCAAATCCTGAACGCTAGAATCAACATTTCCAAAATCACGACATATCCAAATTCGCTGACGCCTAAAATCCCGAACGCCCAACAATACACTCAAAATTATGTATTGAAATATCGATGCAAAATATGGATAATATTTCTGAACTTCACCTTGGCACCTTTTACCATTTCGATGTTTAATAACTAGCAATTAAAAATTTGTAAATTTGGAAAACAAGCAGAATTCACGAGAATTGGCATTCACCATAAATTAATTCATAATTGAACATCTACATTGATACAGATTTGTAAGCATTAGATTATTGGAAATGTCTGAAATTTAGGCGTCGGAAAGTTGGATATGTTAGAATGTCTGGATTTTAGGCATTTGGTAATGATGGAGAAAAATAAAGTAAAATTCATTTTAAGACGCTGGTTTTTTTCAAACCAAACCAAATTTTGAGTTTGAAACTTTTGAAAGCTGGTTTAATATCCATATATTTGGATCAAACTAAACTTAATCAAACCAAACATTTCATCTCTAGTATTGGGATGTTATGTCTGCATTCTAAAAAGGTTGAGATGTTGAAAAGTCAGGATTGTGAAATATTGGCACTCAGGATTTTAAAGTTTCAATAATTTGTTAATACATATGATTTAATCAGGTCAGATTAAAATTTTATGTGTTTATTTAATAATATATATGGTCTAATGCGAAGAGATTCATACCTCAGATAAATGTTAATAGATTATTTTTTAAAATAAAATTTTATTTCTGTCTTATTTAATTAATTTATTTGATATTTATATTTTTCATAAATTTTACTATGTAAAATTTAATAAATTAATATAAAATATATATAATAAATATAAAATATGTATAATAAATATAAAATATATATAATAAATATTTTAATTATTAAACTTTAAAAATTAAAATTCTAAGTTTGCAAATTGATAATGATAATACTTTAATCAAATTATAATAAATAAAGAATAATCTGAATTAATAAAAATATATTTAAAGCTAAATAACTTTTATTAAAAATAATTATTAATTTTTTATTTTGAGCTATAAATCTTTTTATATCAGATTATATTAATAAATATTTATTAATCTTTTCAAACTTTGAACTTTATTAAAATATTATATTATTTGAAAATATTAATATTAAAATAATAATTTCTTTTTTTATTACTTTATTACTTTTATTTTTTTTGCAAATTTAATAATAAAAAGCTTTTATTATAATTAAAAATTAATATAATATTATTTATATATATAATAATAGTCAAAGATAATATATTAAAGATTAAATTTATTAACAAATATAGTAAAAATTAAAATTTTTTTTATATTAAACTTTATAATTTATTAATAAATATTTTTTATAATTTATAATTTAATATATATTTTTTAGATTTTTTCTGGAGAATTATTCTAATTGCAAAGTTATTATAAAATTTTTATTAATTAAATTTTATTTTTAATTAGAAAAAAATTTATAATAATTTTGCAATTTAAAATAATATTTTCAGAAAAAATCTAAAAAAATATAAATTTAATTATAGATTATGAATTTTAATTTAATATAAAAATAAAAATTATAAAGTTTAATATAAAGAAAAAATTTTAATTTTTATTATATTTTATTCATAATTTAATTACTAATATATTATTATATTAAATTTTTATAAGTAATACTAAAATAATTTTGTAAAAAAAATATAATTTTGTATATTCAATCAAAAATTATATATATAATATATTAATAATATATTTAAAATATCAAATACTAAAACTTTAATAATATTATTAATAAATTATATCTTAATAATTATATAATTAAATTCAAGTATCTTTAAAATCTTTTATATATTTATATAAAGAAATTTGTAAAGCTTAGCTATAAATAACTCTTATAAAATAATAAATATGAAATATTATAAAATATATTAAAGACTGTTTAGAATATATTTATTTAATAATTATATATTTCTTAGAATTTAAAATATTAATCAAATATTGAATCTCTTTAAATTATTTGCATCATATTTAATATTGATTCTTTATTATTTAAATAAGAATCTCTTCAAAAAATAGTGTATACTAATAATATTATATTTACAAATTTAGCTTTAATACCAATTCAAGAAAAAGAAAATCTCATTTCTAAGACTAGCCAAATTTAAATAAAAGGCATCACAAAGATATTACCTTACACACAACTGTTTTCTGTTCATCAAAGACAAAATGGATATCAACAGAATCAAGTAGATTACTCTAATAAATCTGCTTGATTTCTATTAAAGGCTGTCAAATATTGGACGTTTGCTTTGTAAGTTGAAGATATTTTTTTGTATTGATTATATGCTAATGATTTTATACTTTCTAACAGGATCTGGTAAAGAAAAAACTTCACAGGAACCTGCAGAAGCCAAAAGTGTGAACAACCTGAAGCATTTGACCAAATGCAACATATCCTTTGGCAAGAATCGTGGCAAAATCAACACAAAAAAATGATCAGTGGCCAATCATAGAAGGCATATGGTAGGCTAGATATTTTGTAACACGTAATTTATAAAGGTTGCACATGTAATACATATAGAATGCGTAGGATTTTGTGCGAAACCGTATTGAAATTTTACATGTAGGACGGTAAGCAATTTAAGAGATGCGCACGGAATGTAAGATATGCGATTGCTTTTTTGTCAAAGTTATTTGTGTCTGGAAATAATATGAATTTTAAATTCCGTATGATAATTCCGTACGCATTTGCGCCCAATTGCATACGGAATAATTGCTTACACATCGCGTAAAATTCCTGATACATTTTTTTTCGTAGGGAAATACCTTTATTCCGGGTGTTATATAACAGAAATATATTTGCTCAGTGAAATTAATATATTTTCATTTAAAATAATAATAAAGATATACCCTTCGTAAAAGATTGAATAGATGCTTAATTATTATCAGGAACCCTTCGTAATATGAACTTTATCAATTAGTTGCATGAACTTAATAAACATCTGTATTTCGCGTCTTTTGATAGATCAAAGGAAATGCAAGTGAAATCCCTCGTGGATACATAATTCACGATCATTGCGCCTCAATTTTTACTATTCATAAAATTTCAATTTTTATAGGCTCGAATAACCCACTAACTATTTACAAGTCATTTCTTTGGTGATGCACAATTTATCTTTTAATTAAAGGACATATTTCTATTCCTATTTCTGAAGGTATATCAAAAATTCTCTATCACTGGCGATAGATGATCAAACAATCACATTTCCATAATAAAGTTAACTGTTCCAGTTCTCGAACATTGTGACCAAATCAAATTTATTCGCAAGCATCACAATTTTTTTAAAACTTGAGTTATTAAAAATCATCAACATCTCCTACGTGCAAATAAATAAAATTTATTAAATTATACGAAGTAGGAGTAAGAGTTCCGATGTTTCACTGATGATTATAAGACAAAAAAGTTTGGATTCCGAAATTGATCAAAATCGGGATCTTCATTGTTGCATCATCGTTGATCATTCAAAATTCTATAAATTCGAGGAAAAATTAGCAGGATACAAATTAACGAAAGTTCAATTTCTTTTAATAAAAATTAAACGCGAACAACCGGTTTTGTTCATATAGAAATTTCGAAATAATTCGAGCTAGTCTCATTAGCATACATTCATTACAAAACCTTTCAATAGACTACGTGAAAAATCTGAGTTAGACTCATTATCATTCATTACACAAAATCTTAAAAAATTTAAAATTTGCCAAAATGAAATTTATAACTACTGTGGGAATTACCTTTGCCATTACAACAACATTGACCTTGGCTTTGCCAGTTCCAGTTGAACTTACAAAAAGAAGATTTGGACAAGAACATACTCCACGTGCTGACGCCGATTTTCAAGCAATGAAAGATATCTCACAAGGTACTGGATTCGAAGCCGACCTTGGCAATTTATCTGGTGCTGCTGTCAGATCTTTATTAGCAAAGGCTGGAGCATGTGATCAACAAGATGTAGCCGATCAAGCAGTTGACATTGCAAAAAAAATTGGACTTCAAGGCAAAGCAGATAGTAAACAAAAGGAACAAGCTTTGATCAAAGTAGCCCAAGATTTTCGTACACTCGAAAGGAATACTCCGAATGCTGGACAGCCATCCGCTCTATGCGATAGGTAAATTTCTATTTATTATTTTATGTATTTAGGTAAAGATTAATTACATAATACTTAAATTCTATTGTTATTATTAGACCTCCAAGAAACAAGGAGTTAGATGGCTTAGTACAAGCGCAAGATCCAACTGGACCACAAGGTCAAGTAGGAGGAGCTGCTTCTGGATCTTCAAATAACTCTGGATCTTCAAATAGCTCTGGATCTTCAAATAACTCTGGATCTTCAAATAACTCTGGATCTTCAAATAACTCTGGCTCTTCAAACACCAATTGCACTTCAGCGGATAATTCTACTGTTTCAAATGGATCTTCAACTACCACTTCAACAAATGCCACTTCAACAGATAATTCTGCTACAAATGGATCTTCAAATAGCTCTTCAGCAGATAATTCCGGCGCATCTTCAAATAGCACTTCAGCAGATAATTCCGGCGCATCTTCAAATAGCAATTCAGCAGATAATTCCGGCGCATCTTCAAATAGCAATTCAGCAGATAATTCCGGCGCATCTTCAAATAGCACCTCAGCAGATAATTCCGGCGCATCTTCAAATAGCACCTCAGCAGATAATTCCGGCGCATCTTCAAATAATCAAAGTAGCGAATGCAGCAAACACATGAAGAAAGCAGAAAAGTGTAAAGGTAAACAGAAGAAATCAGCAAAATGCATGAAAGTCGCAGCGGATTTAAATAAGTGCAATTGTACGCAAAACGGCTCTGATGGCTCTACGCAAAACGGCTCTGATGGCTCTAATGGTGGTTCCATATATGGAGCAAGGGCTGTCAAGGATGCTAGTACTCCAGGCACAATTATCACTGTTGACAATGGCGCGTTTACATCACCAGTAGGGGGTATTTCACCACCTCAAATCATTGTGGTAAATATGCATTTATTGTAAACATATTTGTTTATAAAGTTGGTCGTTAAAATAATTTAATTATAATAGAACCAAGATGGTAATCCCTCGGTAAATGGAGACAGATTCTTGCAATTGAATAATGCCATTCAACGTGCCTGTGACGTCCAGGTAAGAAAATTACCAGTATCAATTTTATTTTAACGTTATCTCGTCTTATTTACACCAATTCTTACAAAATTAGAAAAACCAATGTTTCAACAAATTTAATTCGGGAGATCGTACCTTCTCTGGAACCGATTGTGAGAATCAACATACTACATGCCCAACTGGCACCGTTCAATTTAGTTAAATCATGATATTTGTCTATTAAGCCTGTAATGACAGATAACGAATAGTTTTATCGTTATCTTTTAATAATAAAAAATTGATCTAATTGCTTAATTATAAGCTTTTTCAAAAAAAAAGTTTAATCTTTATTTATTACGCTCACAATCCAATGAAATTAACCACTTTTTTTGTTACTAAGAGTTATCGCAACGATTATTTTGAAAGAAATCATCCCATAATACGATGCCATCGAGGGAATTGAGATGTTTTATCTCGAAATAGCTCATGATTCATTCATCAATATAAAAGTAAACAAAAAAATGATAAGATATCCTTCAAGAAAATGAGCTGGAAATGTGATAACATCTGAAGAATTAAATGCGGGCGTTCCAGTAGCATTTGAGGATTTCTGAGTACCAGATTTTCCCGGAACATTAACAACTACTACTGATGTTGTCGAATCTGGATCATTTTTTGCAGTTGTTGCTGACTCACTATCAAATTTTTATAAAAAATGCATTTTTAGTAGACTGAATAACGCGTCATAGATGAAACAATAGAAAGGAAAACATACGTTTTTGAAACACTGTTCGTTGTCATTGTTGCTGTTATTGTCGGAGTAACTATTTGGAAAAATTTTTAACCTTTGAAAAAAGATTACTCAAGAAATGTTTTATTTATGATTAAGAAATACCTGTATCAATCGTGGTCATTGTCGACGTCGTGGTAGAAGATGATTGTGCTTGTGAGGTTGCTGGTGAGGGTGACGATGTGCTATGAAAAAAAATTATTATTAGATCAATTAATGCAAGTTAAAGACAGATGTGAGATTGATTCTATGCCAACCTAGAGGTAGATTCATTCGTCTTAGTGTTACTAGCGTTACTAGTATTACTAGCATTACTAGTATTACTGGCATTACTAGTATTACTGGCATTACTAGCATTACTAGTATTACTGGCATTACTAGCATTACTAGTATTACTGGCATCACTATTAGTGGTAATAGTATTTGTGGCTGTTTTAATAGTTGATGTTGCAGTCATAGTTATTGAATGAGTAGTAACCTTCCTAAATTTATCATGTACATATATTAGTTATATATTACTTCCAATTCTCATATGTAAACGTGTTAAAAAAATATTAATTACAGATTATCTTTTGAAAGCTGAACTATGCGAGCATTAATCGTTTTCGTCCCCGTGTGATCGAATAAGAGTGAAAGAATGACAATAACGAAGATTAAACAAAATTTCATTGTTTATTTTAGTCTAATGAAAGAAAAATATTTAATTTATTATATATAGCGTATTTTTAATTATTTTTTTCTATAAGTTTTGAAAATACAAAAATCCAGTTTTTGTGATTTTACGAAATCAAAGACGTTTTTCACTGATTTTATAGAAATCTCCGGCCGATTAAATTTCGTGATTTTAACGCTGAAAGACAGGAGCTGCGACTGTTGTACATAAATAAAGTGAAACATTCATGTATATCGATATCGACATTGTCCAATTAACTTAAAACCCTGAAAATCTTTTTATGTATAAAAAGAAATGATCATTATTTGTGTTTAAACGTACTCCCCATATTTGGAAAATAAAAAACCGGTTCTAAACAAACCTTGTGATACATTATTTTTATCAAGACAATCATCTTGGCGAGTTTTATAAAATCAATTCTTTTCTAGTTTTAGAGGTAGTGTGTGCTACGGGCATAATCTAGCGCTAGTAAACAGGTGCATGTATTACATGTACTTTTACATTGTGATAAAAAGCCAAATGGCGATAATAAATAATGTAATGTCGTCATCGCGAAAATCTTAAAGCCAACTGTAACGTCATTTTCTATTTCACATGACTTATAGTACATGTATTTCCGGCCGGAAACGTTCTTGTAGAAGTGTGGAACACATTTATTATTTAAAATGACAAATCCTTAAAGTAACCAACAAATGAATGATAGTTCATTTAAAATAAAAATCTATATAATTTAGCTTTTAATTCTTTAAAATAAACTAAAGCATATTTTTAATATATCTTTCCGGTCAAAATATTAAAGTTGTTTTACAAATAGTTCTTGAACAATATTAAATTTTTATTATATAAAATAATCAGATCTTATGTAACATAATTCGAAAATATGGAATCGATTTTATTTTTACTTTTATTATTAAATAAAGCAAAAATATTTATAATATAATTTATTTCTTGTTTTTAACTTTAAATATTTCATTATTTGAAAATTGTTATTAACAAAAATTAGAATAATAAAATAAATTATCATGAAAAAAGTATTCAACCAACTCCTGAATTAATTAATAAACATTATAAAAATTAAAACATTTATCAATAAACATTTTTATTTATATATTAAGATGATCTATTTACAATACACTTTTTAAAAAGTCTAATTAAACTCGGAATATAATGAATTCGAGTTCCAGTTCCAAAATTTATAATAAAACTCTTTGAATATAGTGAGTTAATTAATAAACTCATGATATAATGAATTTTTGACAGATTTTTGCTAATAGATCTGGATGGATCATTCATTATAACATTTGGAAATCTATGAAAATTATACAAATAACAGATTTTTCTAAGTTCACAATGTATAATATAATCAATCAGATTAAGTATTATATCACTTCTCAGATTTGAAAGATCTTATAGTTAAACAATATTAATATTCTTGATTGAATTATACAGATCAATAATATTATTACTGCAACTGAAAGAATTAAAATACTTAAATAAAAAGATTTTAACTTGAAAATTTCTATGCATACAGTTTAATATATCTTAAAAAAATCTTCAATTTGATATTTTTTATTCATTATAGATTTCTCTTTTATAGTTTAATTTACCTTGAATAAATATAAAAATATATCTGTCAAAATTAATATTACATAATTTTCTCTAATAAAATAATCTTTCAAATATTTAATTAATAAGATATTATTATGAAATATTATAATTATATAAAAGTATAGTAAAGTATTTTTATAAGATTTATGCTTGAAATACTTTTAGTATACAAGAACTAATTATACTTGTCTTGTTTATTAAAAACTTCATACTAGAAAATATCAAGAAATTCTTAAAATTTATCTTTTTATAGTATTGTATTTTTAAAGAATAACTTTTCAATTTATAATACAAATAAAATAATTAATTATTTTTATTATTATAATATTTAAATAGTAATTGATCTTCTTACTTATTACCGTAAAGTCCCGATAATAAGCAACCCCCTACGTCATCATTTTTGAGGTCAATTTTTAGGGGGGTTGC